AAAAAATGCTACATTATTCTCTTATTATCTAATAAAGTCTTTTTCGTCTCATGCATTATTCTCTGTCTTGTTAAGCAAAGGAAACTAATCCAGAGTTCAACAACATACAGAGAAAAAATTGAACGACCAATTCAATCATCTAAAAGTTCGACAACGAATGAAGATACAAACCAGTTTATTGATTAGTTTCTCTTACTAAGCAACGTCACTGTATATGCAAGAAAACACCATATCAAGCAAGCAAAAGACCATGAAACTTTGAAAGTTATCTTCATCTGTAATAAGAATACCCCATCTTCCAAATACAATTCCACCTCCAGAGAAACTCAAGCAAATGTATATATGTAACAAGGCCTCTCTCTCTCCCTCTACTATAATTCTGCGAACGCGCTTAAGGAGCCACCGCCAGGGCCTAACTCGGGGGGATTCTGGTTATCGAAGGCAAGGAAGCCGAGGAGCAAGCAACATTATGCGCGCTGGGGGCTTTGCAAGAACACTATGGTTGAAACCTTGCCTTTTCCTCAAAACAGGGAGATATATACATGTTGATTATGGGTCTGGTCGAGATAACCATCGCATCGATCATGTATTCTTTATCCCAGTCATTAACCAGCCATTGTCAGCTATGTCATGAGAGCGGATGGCAAATATAAAGGGTAAGGTATTGTGAAATTTGTTGGAAAAATTATCAAATAAAAGGTTATAGCATGCAGAATAAATCCGAAATAAAATATTAAGAAAGTCTGGTCTGATCGAGAGCAGTCGTGTAAACATTGCCCTAGAAGATTGAGGACCCGTCTATCGCCCTGGCGCAGATGATCCTCTCTCCTCTAGTGGTAAAAACCCCCGGAAGCGACCGACCTCTGTACTCGGGCGAGAGAACAGAGCTTCAGCTCAGACGAAGAACGATTGTCCAAAAATAACACCAACATATGAACAAAAATAATATGCAAAGAAGAGAAGAGGAAAAAGAGAGAGTTGTTTCTATATATTTTCCGAAAGTAAATAAGGGGTGTATATATAGGGTTGAGAAAACCATTATAATTCCTACAATTAATACGGTAACGTTCGTCATAAATTTTCGTAATGTTCCCCATAATGTATATTCGTTACGCACGTTTTAATTGTATTCATGTGAACGTACAGAAGGACACAAGGACAGGAGATGATGGAAGTGGAAAACCCATGATCCTAAGGACACTAGCCTACTTCATTCTTTCGGCTGGATCCAGCAAGACACAGACGTGTGGGGGTCAGTCCCATGCCCTGTAGCCCATGCTTCTAGCCCTCACCTACAGCCCTTCTTCCGAGCTCATTTTTGAGCTGTCCCGCAGGGCACACCTCTCTCTCTCTCTTGGCTATAAATAGAAGGGAGGTTAAGAGGAGAAGGTGTGGGGAAAAATACTAAGTGGGGAAAATTCTCTTGAGTGAGTAGAGAGAAAAAAAGAAGAGAGAGGAAGAGAAAACTTGTAATAGTTTGGTATTCTCCTTATAGTGAAAACCCCCTCCCGTGGACATAGGTAAGTTTGTCGAACCACGTAAATCTGTTGTCTCGTCTTTTACTGTGTGTTGTCATAGCTTGTAGGTTCCCTCGATATTTCAGTCTTAGAACTGATGAGAGGAATAGTGTATATTTCACTTTGATGAAATATATCACTTTCGATTCTTATCTTCTTTGAGAAATAAGAATTTTACTATCTATTCTAGTTTCTTTTGAGAAACAAGAATATAGAGGTTGACTTGTGCTTTTGTAACAATAAAAACTAGGGCTATCTCTCAGGTGATATCGCTTCCGCGGCGTGAGGGCGTGACTCTGCGCCCAACAGTTGGTATCAGGGCCCTTATTCAGATTGGCGGTGGTTGAGCTACTGATCTGAGGTGGTGGTTGAGCTACTGATCTGAGGTGGTGGTTGATTATTGTGTGGTGTACACAAGGTATTTGTTAAAAATCTTGAGAGAAGCGGATTTACAAGCGGATAATAGCTTCTACAAGTAAAACAATTAAAGTTGGAAAGTACGAGATTGAAAAATTTAATGGAAAAAATAATTTTTCCTATTGGAGGGTGCAGATAAAAAATTCGTTGATTTCGCAGAAATTGCACAAAGCTTTGGCGGGAAAAGAGAAGAAGTACGAGGATATATCTGATGAGGATTGGGAGGAGCTGGATCTGGAAGCACGTGCGTCGATTATCCTTTGCCTTGAAAGGGATGTAGATTTTTTGGTGGACGGGGAGGAAACGGCTGTGGGCGTGTGGTTAAAGTTAGAGAGCACCTTCATGACGAAGAGTCTAACGAACCGGATCTATTTAAAATCTAAATTGTATACTTGCAAGATGGAGGAAGGTTCATCAATCCGGGAATACATTAACAAGTTCGATAGGATCTTATCGGATTTGAAAGATATTGAGGTGACAGTAGAAGACGAGGATCAGACATTTCTACTACTTCTATCTCTGCCGAAGTCTTATGAGAATCTGGTTCAAACACTGATGCTTATGGGCGACAGTTTGTCGATGGATGAAATTAGAACAGCGCTTCTAGCGGGTGATCTTTGAAAAATTGTAACTAGTAATATGACCACGGGTGGTAACAAGGAACAAGCTCAAGGACTGTTTGCCAGAAGAAGAGGCAATGAGCGAGGAAAATGCAAGGGAGGAAAGTCTAGATCTAAATCGAGACCTCTTGTGGGACGAGCGTGTTTCAAATGCGGTGAAATTGGGCATTTCAAGGTCGATTGTCCCAACAAGAGAGTAGGTGGGAAGAAGAACAACAACAAGACTGAAAGATGAGAAGGCAAGGAAGAGGCGAGTTACACTTCAGGGGAAGGGAGCGATAAGGAATGTTATGTCGTCATGGGTGGCGAGGATACCTCTGGGAAGTGGATTCTTGATTCAGGTTGCTCTTACCACATGTACCCAAATAGGAAGTGGTTTACTACCTATAGAAGCATTGATGGTGGAACCGTATTGATGGGGAATAACCATGCTTGTAAAACGGTGGGGCTCGGTGATATAAAAATCAAGATGCATGATGGAGTGATCAGAACCCTAACCAACATGCGGCACGTTCCCGACTTGCGGAAGAATCTTATCTCAGTGGGTGCTTTGGACTTCGGTGGCTGCAAGATTATTACAGAAAACGGAGTGAAGAAGGTTGTTCGAGGTTCCCTAACAGTGATGAAGGGTGTTCGTCATGGTAACATATATACTCTCTCGGGTACGACGGTGACGGGAGATGCAACAGTTGGAGCTGAAGGAAGTGGTGGAGACCCATGTGAGCACACAGGGTTATAGCATAGGCCGCTTTGGCACATGTCAGAGAAGGGTCTGGATCTGCTTGGTAAAGAGGGTTTGCTAAAGAATCTGAAGAAACCTTGTATGGATTTTTGCGAGGATTGTGTGTATGGAAAGGCGCACATGATCCAGTTTCTGAGGAGCAAGCACAAGAGCAGAGGGATACTAGATTATGTGCACACGGATGTTTGGGGTCCGGCTTCAACAACTTTCAAGGGTGATTCTAGATATTTTGTCTCATTCATAGATGATCATTCGAGGTATGCTTGGGTTTATTTCCTGAAACATAAGAATGAGGTATTTGAGTGTAAAACCCCGTAAATTTAAATATTTTATGATAAATAATGATAAATATGTTATGTAGTGAAAAATAATATATTTTGATGTTTGAATATGATAAGAATTGATTTGAGATCAATTCAATGTATATTTGTGAAAATATGGGTGCAAATGCACAAAACATGCACAAAGACCAAAAGAGTGAAAATCTGGGAATAAGGACTAGTTATGAGTTTCTAAGTTTTTCATACTGATGCAATTAGAATTTGGAAAAGTGTAAGACCAAAGTTGTAGGTATCTTCAACAGCTTTCCAACAAGTCTTAGATCACCTCATTCCGAGGTCGGATGAAAAAGTTACAGCCAAAATACAGAAGGTTATTTTCCTAGTCAGACTAGGTTTCCTGGTTCGGGTCTAACAAGTTTGTTTCGGATTTGCCTCTATAAATACCTATATTTTTCACGAAAATTTCTTTCTTTTATCATATCTAAGAACCCTAACAGCCACCAAACCCCCATAAACCCTATTTTGAATTCTTGGAGAAGATTGGAGGCTTTCAAGTTGGGTTTTTGTTGATCTTTGACTTTTGGAGTGGAGATCTCCT